TGCCTGATTGTTTTGGGTTTGTCCTCTTGCTTCTCTGAGATGTCAGAGTTACTTTCTGCTGCTTTGTCGATGACCTCTCTGTAACACACAGACAAAAAATATTAAAAGTAAGGCTTCGAGACATTATCCTTACTTAATATTTTGAGAATTGTCCTCTTGCTTACGTTCCACTACTTTGTCGATGACCTCCCTGTAACACACAAATAAGACTCTACTGCATGAGATTCAGGTGATATTTAAAAACACAAGTTTGTCACTTCTCATCTCTGTCAAACACAAAACCTGACGGTATTGACGTCTGATGTAGTTGACAGAATGTAATATTTTTTTTGAGGCTGGAACTTTAACACATTAATTTTAATTAATTATTTACTGAAAAAAAAAGCACATTTCATTGCAACTTTCTCAGTTCCCTAATTTCTGGGATACCCGTAACACTGATGAATCCAAAGTTCATTTGTTTCCATGAAGAAAACACACACGATGCATTGAGTGACGTCACCACACAAGAAAGTTTGGTGAACAGTGATGGAAGACAAGACCACATTGCTTGGCTCATTGAGTGGAAAGTTTTTTCTTCTTTTCAAGGCCTGACGCTACGTGGCCAAAATTTGCATAAAGCTGAAGTCAAGTCTACTTTATACAAAGGAGTTCACGGGCGACGCTACGCTGTGGTGATCCGAGTTTTGGTGCTTTTGTGCAGCACTGTGTTTTGGTGTATGTGCTTGCGGTTGCTGGTGGCTGTGACTACGTTTCAGGCTGGGTGGGGATTTCCAGATGGGAGAGCTCTCACTCAATCTCCCCCACACTTGACGCGCATCTACAATCAGCGCTGGATAAAGCCTGCCCTCACCTGTGCTCCAGCGCCAGTGGATTATCCTCCTCAGAGTGTTAACAGGCCAGCAGTGCTTTGAGAACTTCGTGCTTTGAGATACTTGCTTTGTCTAATGTGTGTAGTTCTTTTTACCAGAACCTCCCCAACGGATCGTTACCACCCCAACTCAGCTTTGGCAGCAGAACCACAGCCTCAGTTGTCTCGTCTCCCAGTCCCCCCAGGAAACTTTCCCAGGATTTCCCTAACTCACTCGGCTACCCTCACAAGCTTCCCAGTGTCCCTCCGTTCCCTGCAATTGCAAAATAAATCCCTCTTGTCTTCACTCCCTAACCCTGCGTTGCATTTTGGATCCCTCCTTTGACTGAATCCTCACATATGCCTCGTCACTCAAATCGTCACTCGATTCTCGTTTCACCAACACAATGAATGGGAAGCGAGAACTTGACAGATTTTGTAGACACAAACCATGAAGCAGCTTGGAGAAGAGCATGGTCATGTGCAAATTGTGAAACAAAGAGTTTAAGACATATTCCTGGATTTCTTTTTTAAAAAATTCTATCTAAAATGTTATAATAAGGCTTTGAAACAGTATCTGTACCTGATCTTCAGGGGATTGTCCTCTTGCTGCTTTGAGTTTTCAGGGTTACTCTTTTTTGTTTCGTCGATGACCTTCCTGTAACACACAGACAAGTCAGGTGTCTAATTCCTGTGTTTCTTTTCTAAAATTTCTTACTAAATTGTTAAAAATAAGGCTTTGAGACAATATCCTTACTTGATATTTTGGGAATTGTCCCCTTTCTTGCGCACTACTACTTTTTTGATGACCTTCCTGTAACACACAAAATAAGACACCATTGCACAGAATTCAGTTGGCATTTAAAACTGACGGACTTCACATCTGAAGAAGTTGACAGAATTCATCATTTTTCGTACACTGACACCATTTTGTTTTTCATTCAATTGCTCGATACTTCTATAAAATAAACTAAAACGTCAAATTTTACAAAGTTTTGGAAACAAAGTTTTGAGACAATATCCTTGCCTGATTGTTTTGGGTTTGTCCTCTTGCTTCTCTGAGATGTCAGAGTTACTTTCTGCTGCTTTGTCGATGACCTCTCTGTAACACAAATAAGACACTATTTCATTGGATTCTGCTGGCATTTGAAAACACAAGTTTCTCACGTTTTGTGGCTGTCAAACAGAAAACTTGACAGTATTGATGTCTGACAATGTTAACAAACTTTAATATTTCGTCTTTAGCATTTGCTGTACACTGAAGCCACTTCTACAACCTCAACTGAAATGTCAAATTTTATATTGTATTTTGTTTTTCTAAAAATTCTAGCCAAAATGTTCAAACATTCACACAATAACCTTGCCTGTTTTTTGGAGGATTGTCCCCTTGCTCATGTTCCACTACTTTATCGATGCCTCTCTATAACAAATAAATGAGACACTATTGCACATTACTGAGACGCCAACTGAAGAAAACAGGACAGACTATTGTTTAGATTGTCTACATGATTTTAAAGACCATCTAATTCAGTGAATGTATTTATTACATGAAAATGTAAATCAGGCTTTTCTGAAGAACTGTTTTATTTGCTTACTATTATTGGTAACTTTGGATGGATTTCACCTGGTCAGAGCGGACCAGAGCTTGAGGGAGAGTGGAAAGAAGAAAGGCTGGGGACTGGCCATGTATGTGAATAAAAGATGGTGTAATGCTAGCTGCACGTTAGCGTTAAAGAGCAGCGCTGCACGAAGGATGTTGAACTGCTGGCAGTTGGTTTGCGGCCGTTTTACCTGCCAAGGGAGTTTTCGCACGTCCTGGCTATTGCAGTTTACATCCCGCCCTCGGCTGATGCTGCTGCGGCCTGTGAACTCATCCATAGTTCAGTGTCCCAGCGGCAAACATCACACCCTCAGTCTCTGATCGTCATCTCAGGAGACTTACATCATACATCGCTCTCTACCACTCTCCCCACATTCAGCCAGTATGCGGACTGCCCAACTGGAGATGGTGGGGCCTTGGACCTACTGTGTGCGGACACCAGGATGTATATTACTTAATTATTGTTATTTTCTTGTACTTTCTATATTTTTGGATACTGCTGCAGCGTGTAAATTTCCCCCAACGGGGGATCAATAAAAAAGTTAACTTTAACACTTCAGGGAAACAGTGCTAAAAATCTAGAAATGCTACTCATGTAGTCAATAAACTTCTATCGAATCTAATCTGATCATAAACTACACTAATAAAGATAAAGTGATAACAAGCGGACTTTGTGTTGGGATTTCAAATCAGTATTTTAATTCAAAGAAAGAATGTCTGAAACATTTAAGAGGAGAGTTGATGTCAAAATAAGAGCAGAAAAATCTTGACCAGCACACAGAAAGAAAAGAAATGCACATAAAGTCTGAATTCTGCTGTGTAATCACTTTTAAAGTGGACATAATCTTTTTTAATCTGTTTTGGCACAGAATATAAAATAACTCCACACAAACATAATAAGTGTGAAATGTCCACATTTTATGCTTGTTTTGCAAAATTTCATTCCAACAACAGATTTTATTAAATGACAAAAATCACAGACTTTCTGGAGGCAGATTTTTCAGGAGGATAAACAAAACCTGTTCTATCTGTAAACTGAACAGCTCATCTTTCCTGTTTACTACATTAGCAGTTTTATCTCAGCCATAGGAGTCTTGCATGTTTCTTTGTTATCACACAAACCTCCCTTTGAATGGGAAAGAAACTTGTCAATACAGAACTGATTTTAAGCTTCTTTTATTTTGTATGTTGATATTTTAAATATAAAGTCATGCATAGTGCATGTCTTTCATCTGTCTTGTTTCTCCTCCATGGACAGTTTTGAGAAAGATGCACATGTTTTAATTACTTTTTGTTGCTCTCAATGGCTCTATTATCACAGTATTTTATATTTATTATAATTTAATGATCTTACAGGCTGTGACGCTCTTTGTCTTGTTTTTTGTTGTTCGCATTTAAATTGATTGATTTTACAAGTTTTCTATTTTTGTCCTCTCTTCTCACTACTGCTACAACTACTAATAACAAGAAGTTCATCTTTACTGTATTGTAATTATCTATCAGTCTATTTCAAATTTACATTTCATTAAGCATCTTTTCTTTAAAAAAATTTGGAGGACTTTAGAGCAGAGAATCTTGATCATTTTTAAAACAAACTTAAGTTCTACCTTTTTAGTAGATTTTTATTTAAAATGTTACATAATGTTCTATGAAGGACTCAATAAAAACAGGGAGGGAGGAACTGAGGACACACTGTTATAAACTTGAAATGAAGAAACACAAGAGGGAGGAGAAGTCAAAAGTTCAAAGCTGTAAAAAAAAAAAACTCACAGAGTTGAAACCAGAAGGTTACATAAACTGTATAAAAAGACATATAACCTTTTTTTTCTCACTGTCTGACATTAAATCACACTAAAGTTTTCCTGTTTAACTCAGTTGGGATTACCAGAATTATTTCTGTTTGCTAAACGCCAGAATAATGACAGAGAGAATTTTTTTGAGAATTTTTCATTACTTTCATTTCATTAAGTCAGAAGTTTACATACATTCCCTTGCTATTTGGTAGCATTGTCTTAAAACTGTATGACTTGGGTCAAACATTTTGGGTTTCCGTCCACAAGCTTCTCACAATAGTTTGATGAATTCTGGTCCATTCCTCCTAACAGAGCTGTTGTGACTGAGTCAGGTTTGTTAGCTGTCTTGCTCCACACATCTTTTCATCTCTGCCTACAAATTTTCTACAGGATTAAGATCAGGGCTTTGTGATGGCCACTCCAAAACACTGACTTTGTTGTCCTGAAGCCTCTTTGTAACTAATCTGGCGGCATGCTTAGATTCTTAAGTAGTCTTATTTAATGTCAGATAGTGAGAAAGAAAATATTATATGTCTATTTGTACAGTGTATGTAAACTTCTGATTTCAACTGTTTGTGCATGAAACTTTGTCGGCTTGAAGGGTCATTAGTTGTTAATTATTGTTCATAGTTGTTATAATAACTAGTAGGGCTGGTCTAAATACCACTTTCTGGTCTCTGGATATTCAGGCCCAATTAATGATGAATATCCAAATATTTGGCACGGTTGGGGGACACTTCCACCCCGGGGGAGCGCTCCGATGGGGTGGAAGTGGTCGGAACGCACAGACAGTACTTGGCTGCTGATACTAGTTTAGGATAGTGGTCACAGTTCTATTTCCACCATCAGTGGTGGCGCCGCCACCATCCATGTTTACTTCCGTAAACACTGAGCATGCTCACTGCGCGTGACGTCGTTGTGTCCTCTTCTGCGCATGCGGGACAATTTTGGGTCGTATGAAGTTCACACAGCAGATCACATACAAGTCGTATTTAACTGGAAATGTGGACGAACTCGGAAAAAAATCCAAATTGAGCATTAAGTCCTGCAGTCTGAACGTAACCAATCTGTCGGGATTGTTCAGTCAGAGAATACGCCGTTATCCTTATTTGTGACATAAAATGTTCAGAGTAAGGCTTTGAGACATATCCTTACCTGGATTTTGGGGGTTTATCCTCTTGCTTCTTTGAGGTTTCAGGGTTACGTTCTGTGACTTTGTCGTTGCCCTCCCTGTAACACACAGATAAAGCAGGTGAATAATCTGGTGTTCTGACATGACTTGACTGATGATGCCATAAACACAGAGGTTTGTTCTCACGTGTAGCCTTGAAAGTGCTCAGACGACTGAGAGGGATTTTTCTGATAATCTCCATTTCTGAGAAACAAAGAATGAATTTGTAAAATGCAGATAAACTTGGGGAAACTTTCTCAGCTTCCCCAATTTAATGCGTGTATTTATAAGATAAAGCAATCTCAATTTAGTCAGCAGGTTATACACTGTTAAAGAATAGCTGCAGTTCTACAGACTTTGCATTATTTCTGTACTTTTGAAACACAAAATGTATCAGAAAAAAACAAAAGGCAAAAGGAAGCAGTGAATTTCCATGTCTAATGTGAAAGAACATTAAATACCTTTTACTTTTAACACCACCTCTTGAAAGTTCAATATGCGGTGCTGTTTTAACTTAACAGGAGCAACCTGACAGGGTTGTTATCTGCACTTTTGTTTTTTTCCTTTAGCCTTTTCTAGGATGAATTCATAGAGAACTTCATGTCAAACCACAAAGATGTTGCATAAAAACATTTCCTGGTCAGATTCCATTTTTTTATTTTTTTTGAAAAAGACTTTATTGTTTCTTAAACACAGAAATTATACAATACACAGAAACAGAACCCCCCCACCC